ACTACCTCGACGTGCTATGTTCAGCGGTATAGGAGTAGGTTAGGAGAAAGCTAGAGACGGCCAAACCAAAACATGGCACAAGTCCATGAAGTCACTGACAAGTGGACTGAGTCATGTTGGTAGGTGTAGACTACCTGGTTGGGGACCACGAGATGATAGCAACCGATGGTTAGAGACCCTGAATGACATTGCTCAAAATCGTTTGCACTGGCGCAGGTGCATCCACTCTTTGTGTTCTCCCAAATTCTAATCTTCTGAATTCTTCATGTGCCTTTTTTCCTCTTTCCAAATTTATTTCACTGGATTATACTCTTTAAATAACATCTCCAAACCCTAATCTTCCCGATTACTGCTTATACTCTTATTACCTCTACCACTACGGGATTTGAATCGACAACTGCATCTCTGTGCTAATGTGGTGTGGCAACTCAAACTGATGTACGCACGTACGAAGTTCTACGTTGTTACTGACTGACTGACTGACTGACTGACTTAGACTTGTAGGTCAAAGGCTCAGGATGTGACCCCCTAAGAAAACCACCTGTTTCGGTTTGGGCACCCGGGCAGTATCACAGCCCTCACACATATCAAATGAGATTTGTGTGGCGCATATGTATTTGGTGCCGCCTTGTACCAATATCTATGTGTTAAGATAAATAAATAAATAAAGTTCGCTCTAATATGCGGAATGTTTGGCAACATGTCTATATCCTTATACGTTATAATCCTAAATATTTCATCATTTAGAAAAGAAGTAATCGATTGTTAGATGTATAAAAAGTTTTATAAATCGTATGGTTATTTATTTGTATACCTTTCAATAAACGATTTTAAAGGTTTGACCAGTTTAGTTTACTTGGGCTTGTGAATCCAGGAACGTTGATACGTTATATGGCTCTTTTCTACCACAATATTCACATGCAACATGGCTTAGCAAACGATAATTCAGTAAATCCGATATAAATTCTCAATATTTTCAACGTCTATGTATAACCGTACTAACTACGTGGGTTTCGTTACCATGGTTCTAACATGATCACTTTTCCCCATATCACATTTACAAGATTCGTTTCCAATCCTAAAAATATTCGTATTATGTGACTTTCCTCATTACAGTTTTTTTTAGGACAGTGTTCTTCCAAATTGCTTTCCCATGATACACTTCATAAACGTTTTACTGTTTTTTTTTATTGACTGAGATCAAATAATGGATTTTCTAATCAAAACTCCATGTGTTGGATTTCTCGTATAGAAACATATTTGAATATGCAGGCTTTCTGTATTATTTCCAGCTTTTTCTACATAGAAAAAGATCTATGACTCAATGTTTTAATTTATTTTAAAGTTTTTGTTGATAAGACAATAATTAAGAACTGTATAATTCACTACCTGAATAAGCAAATACATGACAATCATTCAGTACTTTTCAAGTCGGTGGGAAAGAAAACTACAATTAAGTTTTTTTTAAATCCATTTTTGAATATTTTACGCTAAGAAATAAGGGATTTAGCGAGGAAAAAAATTTTTTTGTTGTATCATAAAATTTTGTTTAGATATTTCTCATGATTGGTTCAATCACTAAGTATATTTTCAAATCTCTCCTAGATCGATAATTTCATTTTAATTAACTGAGCTCTACTCATTTTATTACCTATTGCAGCTACCATTCAGTAATCATGTAGTCATTTATTTCTTCCAGCTCTCTGGCCTTTATTTTATTATCATTATCATAAACTATTCTATCATATAAGATATATATATATTTGTAATATTTTCTACTCAATATCTGAAATTTATTTACATAGCTCATGTACAGGGCTGATATTTGTTAAAACAAGTTTCCAGTTAAACTCATTTGTGTATTTTGTATAAAAAAAATCATTTTGTACACATACTGATGATAATCAAATGAATTTATGTTATTCTGTTCAAATCTTTGTTCTTGCTCTTTTCAAAGGAATCATATGTATGAAAAATGTTTTTTCTTTGTTTGTTTTTTTTATTTCGTTTGTAATTATGATTGTACATTACAATATGTATTTCAAAACTAAACAATGAAATCACTATTCATTAAATATTGATGAGTTAGTCAATAAATTTCGAATTATTTATGAAGGAATAAGGATAGTTTATTAACAAGGTGAATTTAATGGTTATAATATATAAAGAAATTATTTTATCAATAAGTTATCAAGGATATAATCAAATGTAGATGCTTAGGGGATCTAAGTGTTTGTTTTTTTTTCTGACAAATCAATTAATATATGATGTCAAGGGATTGCGCAATAATAACTAGTCACGTATTTGATAAGCTTTGTTAGATGTTCATCACTTGAGATAGAATTATGAAAATCCTAATAAGTATTATATTGAAAAATCTTAGCAGGTCGCATAGAAGAGCTAATCGATTGGTCAATAAATCTCATTATATAAATACAAGACTAAGATATAGAGAAAATGTTGGCTCATTTCGAAAAGAATTATTTGATTAGCTAGATCGACATAATGAATTAGGAGGTTTCAAAAACTTCTACTAAAGACATATAGATTAGTTTTACTTATATGGAAACTTGTGACTTCTTTTAACCGATAAAAGACACGTTTTGTTCTTCGTTCTCACTGTATTTATTTTAGAATCATTAATATTTACATTTTCAACGTATCCGTCGAGAGTTTTGTATATTATAAGCGAATGGCTGTTCTGCTACCTGTATAAAAATTTTGACACGACTGCTTTAGTCTTGTAATGTTTTTTAAGGTATCTTAGTTTTTTCAACTATATTTCCAGCCTACATATTAATAAAATGTTTGCTCTGTGTATCATTTCGGCGCACTATCTCCCCTTTAAATTAATCATGACTATTGATTCCTGTGATGGCATCGTTTTATTTTAATTTCTAGTTTATATTTATTTATCTGCCCATTTGTTGTCCGATTTCGCTTTTTCACAATAATTAGATAGTCTTTTTTTCTAATGCACAATGTTAATCTAGTCCTGTTAACTTAATTATAATATAGTTGTTGAGCTAAGTGACTGTACATAGTGGTGTACTCTCTGTCAAGTAGTTGATTTTAAGGAACAGTAGGGTCTGAACGAAGGTTTCGTATTAGTTATCGTTCCTCAACAAGGGGTGTCTGGAAGATTGAGTGAACTGCTGCTCTCCGTAAAAGTTGAACCCTGGTCACTCTATTTTGATGTACAGGTACCTCCAGTTTTGGGATTGATCTTTGCTTAACTTAGTTATTTTTGTGGCTCGTGTGCACAGATCGTAATAGCGGAGAGCAGTTGTATTGATCTAGTCTGTGTTGATTAGTTAGCTTGGATTGTATATTTAGTACCGATGACCTTAGTCTAACCAATGAGGTTATACTAGTGCGATTAACATCGAAAATAATAATTAACGACCGTTGGCGCAGAATGCAGTTTCCATCCTTGTTCGACTGATAATAAGGGATATAAATGGATTTTGAGTTGAATTCTCAAGAGAAACATTGATGATGTTTAGATATGACATTCCTATCTCATGTGACAGCATAGTAATTTTATGCTCACTTGCATTTATTGTTTTGAACAATTTGTTAATGATCATGTGTTGTTATGTCATTTATCTTCGTATTTATAAAATTCACCGTATTAGCCTAAAAAATATTTTTGTGTCTATGTTGCGTATAAATACTATTATTGTATATTTATTTTAAGTTTTCTTATAGCGATTTCCCACCACTGAAATATATCAACTGAAGAAGTTCTGAAGATCCAGTACTATTTGTCATATATATAGTAGTTTCGTACTTTTTTCAAGAAAACGAACCACAAACTTATTTGAATTAAATTAAGATAATCAGTTTATTTTGTTTCTATACTTTCAATAGCGATTTGTGTCTGTTATGCTTCGTAGTTATGTATCTTTTATGCATACTCGTTATAGATGAGTATTGTCAACTCTTCAACGAATCAAAATTTATCATGTTTAAGTATTTATCTTATTTTAAAATACAAAGTTATTGATGTATGACTAGTGTGTTTAGGTTAGACATTTCGAAAAGAACATACGAACAAATGTGATTGGGAGATTGGAAACTGTAAAACCATTTGTTTACTGTATGGATTCCTAGGTTTTTGTTTAAAAGTAATCAATATTGTAAGAAAAAAGTATGGAATTATTGTTCATCAAAATCCCTCACTAAGGGATGTGTAAGTTTACGCAGACTTTTGGAGTATGATGAAGTTTTCTTCATTGCAAAGTGCCATGTTGGTCTAAAGTTCAAATTTGTGTACTGATTGGTGATCTGCATAAATATTCTCGGTTAGTTATCCGTGGCCTGATAAGTAATTTGCAGATATATCATATTGAAAATGTTTTCCATATATAAGTTAACTGTTTTTGTTTATTACCGTATGTAAAGGCATGTTATTACGGTTATCCGCACCGAAATGTTAAATGAAATTGATCCTAATGTTACAATATAGTCATTTTTAAATGAACCCTGTTTTGCAGTGTTATGTTCTACTGTATTAGGAGTTAGTTGGTAGGAATGAGTGTAGAAGAAAACATAAACCCTAGGTTTTGTGAACTTGTCAAAAGCTCTTACCTGTGATCTCGAAAGAAATGGATTTCTCCTTGTAATTCAAGTAAACATAACAGTGCTTCAGTTGGATATTTTACCACCGAGTCAATCGACCTGACCTAACCCCTCGTAAGACTGATGTTCCTTCTACTGAACGTGTTCAACTACGTGATAATAAGAAAGGTCCGCAACAATATCTAGTCATTAGGATTCGTGGTTACACAACAAACCATATCAGTAAAACACCATAGGAACAAAGAAGTAGACAACATGAGAATTATAGCTTAGTTAACAATGAGTGAGAACATTGAAGACATCTGAATTCTAAACAAAATATTGACATTAATATCCAATTACCTCCAAGTGATTATTTAATTATGCAACTAAAATCAAATCGTTCAATAAACTTTATATGATTTTCATTTTATTAGATAAATCCAGATCTGCCTAAAGGTCAAGGAGAGAAATTTTTGTTACGTCAAGTTGCTTCAATGTTGAATTTGAATTATGCATCTAAACAACCGAAACGTGCAATGCAATTCGGCAGTCGTGTGGCTAAAGCTGAAGGATCTAAACGTTTGATTGGATCAGCTGACCAAATAAAGTTCGCATATCAGTCTGAATCACAAAAGTAGTTATTACCATCTAATAAACTTTGTATTATGCAATAGTACAACTATCCTTGTTTTATTACCCTGGTACATAAATACATTACTTTTTATAAATAAAAATACAACAATTGATAAAGTTCGATTATTTTCGTATTTCTGGAAATAAAATCAGCGATTATCTATTGATAATTTGTTTATTTAAACACATAAACATTGGTACAAGGAAACATCGAATATATATGCACCACACTTCGTCATTCGATCTGTATGAAGGCTGGAATACTGCGCGGGTGCCCAAACCGAAACAGGTGGTTTTCTTAGGGAGCCACATCCTGAACCTTTGACCTACAAGGCTAACCCACAAGTCAGTGGAGAAACATCAGGAAATACAGTCCCATGATAGCCAGTGATCAACAATAGGTTCATACGCCATCCTGAAGCCGATGTACACCATTGGTTTAGAATCAGAGTTTTGCAACTGCTATGTTCACCAACCCGGTTAGAGTTCCGGACATTCGTTTTTCGTCCTCTCAATTTCGTAAACAACATCTCCACAACGAGGAGACAGTGAATAGGACTTACTTGGCAGTGGCTGTATTGATAATATGGTTATTTTTATGTCAAGTAAAGTGTCAATTAATATTTTGACCATTTACTTTTCTGTTTACAACAGGATTTTAATTTTTAAAGTGTTATCATGAATTAATAGTGTTTAAAGTAGGTTCAGTTCGCCCAAAGATAATTGAAAAATAGTAATTGACGGTCGTGTTTACCTTTTCGATCTGTACAACTGAAATCACAATATTTTCTTAATCAGACTTTGAGTCATTGTCTATGCAAATGACAACTGACTTCGAAATTTTTTCGTTATTACATACCTTTATTACTGTACTTCGTTCCTGATATTCAGTTACTGATTTCCAAGTATTATTTTTGGGACGAAGTTATAAAATGCTTGATTTTCAAACCATTGTTCTAATTGGCTTTCACTTCATTTTAAAGTGAGCATACATTTTAGGAGAAAAATACTTCAGATCCACTGTTACATTGAAAGTGCAACACATTGATTTTAAGCCCAATTTTATCATCAGTCTCTATGCTTCACAGCATCTTTTTTTGTGAAATTATGTCTTCACTTGTCCACGAGTTATCTCGGTACCTGTGCGGTTACGCCACAGGATCGTATTGTACTGTTCATATGGTAATGTAAAGATCTTAAAGGTATCTGGTTCTTCTGAAAATCAATGCAAAGTTACCCTCTTCTAGGCGATATTTATTTACAATTGTGTGCGACTATTTTTCACGTGCATTTTCCCACTGTTATCGTAAACTGACTTATGCTACAGATTAATAGAAGATTGGGAATGCAACTCGATAATCAATTGATGATTTGGTTATTATGAAACAAGTTATAACTGGTTATTAACAAAAAAATACAATTCATGAAACACAATATCAATTTAATGCTCCCTACTATTAGGGATATTGGTTTAGTGCGAATTTTATCTTTAAATTACCTTGTTTCCTACAAACCGCTATATATATATATACCAGTTACCCTGTCCCATCATTCGACGATTTGTAGTCCTTAACAATAACAAGTGTTTCATCCATTCCTATAGTTTTATTTTCGACGTACTAAGTTACTTACTACTAAAATTTTTTATCCTTGTTTAGTTAACAGGAATTCTCCTTTCAGAGTTTCAGACAATATTTAGTTATTTTTATGAAATACTTTTGATACACATAAATTCCTGTTTATCTGTTTTCGTCTCCTCCACCCTGTTCTTTTTATTTATTTTCTCCCTCAAAGAAAAATATAATGTAAATGTAACTTATAAATAAGTATCATTATTTTCTGATGTTTTGTTTCAAATTTTCATTGAGATTATGGGAAAACAGAAATGAACATACCATTACTCTCTGTTCACTAGAAAACAATTAGGATACATTGTATATAAAGTAACAAAATAAACAGTGGACAGGGTATTATATCTTTTTCATATTCATTAAGTTTTAATGTGCGTGTAGAACTATGGATACTTTATTCTATCAGAACAAAGATGATGCTCATATTGTTACCTCATTTTATGTATAATAACATTTCATCAGATACAAAATGATTTTAGTTTTCAAGGCTGTAGGTATAGCCTAGCCCAATAGGTTATGTTTACCCATTATTATTATTATTTTCTTACCATTGTTATGATTTTTGATTCATCAGGGATTTTTTATGTTACAAACATTATTTGTAAGTTTATTACTAGATCGTTTTTTGTTTGTGTTTTCATGTAAGGACGAAATGTGAATCATTTTATTTTCTTTCTGTTATCTCTATTGTTATTCTGTTTGTTTCACTAGTAATTCTATTGCTACCATTAATATTAGTTACTCTCATAATAATTATTATATACAGAATTATGATTGGTGCTTAATAAAACATGAATTATTGGTTTACATCACTTTCGTGACCTACAAGTCAGTTTATCTAACAGCTATCAAACGTACCCATACTGATGATTGGGATTTAAATTCATTTCAGTTAATTTAGATTGTGTTCTTAATTGTTAACGACAACGACTACTATGTATTTATTATTTATTCTCGACAACAGTATTTGATCATTCATGTCCCTAACAACGTATAAAGAGTCCATAAAAATGATACCACAATTTATTAGGTGGCACAGTTGTGCTGATTTATTTGGTTTCAAGAAACTTTGTTTGAATGAAATTTCTTGTTTGCAAACTAGAAAATATGCTTCTATAACAGCAAAGATATGAAATACAACAGAATATATGAATTAATTTATGTTAAAGCGAGGGTATTTTCATGTTTACTGTTAAGAAGTCTGCTGTCATCATTAATATATAATTCTTTGCAATAATGACAAGGGTCATACTAATTAGCCAATAAATATCATAAGATCTAATCCCTAGTTCTTGTTGAGTTCTGTCGACTAGGTTGTACTGTAACTGGTGGTCTTAATAGGCTGTCACTCTTGAATTGGATAACCTAGTTCTGGATTATCTTATTGTAGTACTGCCTGATTCCGGTCCGATTTCCTGAAGAATCATCAATTACTTCATATTTTCTAACAGTTCGTAATGACGAGCTGGTTTTTTACGGATTTCCTCGAATAACTTATTAAAGCGACATTATTAATATCGATGGATAGAATGGAATACTGTCATTGAATAATCCTATTTTTTGTATTTTACAAATGACATACCTCGTTACTTCTTCTTAATTCATTTTATTGTATTCTATCTTCCTTCCGTTTTGCTATATTTCTTTCTGTTCTCTCTGTAGTTTGTCGCTATATTTGTCATTATTATTATAACTAACAGTGAGAATGTTACTGCTAACAATATTTTTGGCTATTTTTACAACCCATGGGGAATAAATTGATATTTTATTTCTGTATATACCATCAGCTCATAAATTATACGCTGGCTTAGAATAGAGAATGAGACATAAGGGATTTTCTTAAAAAATACTCAGTGGTTTTCAAAATCATTAAAAATGTAACTGTTGCCTGGTTTCATTATTTATTTATTTGAACACATAAACATTGATACGAGGGTGCACTAAATAGATGTGTCCCACACAATAACAATGAGGTTGCGAGGAGATAGAGAATGTAAAGTGCGTATAATAAAAGAAAAAAACAACGAACTTAAATTAGTGTGTGAGAGCGAAATAATATTAATAATGGGAGAAACAGTTCAGTTAGCAAGAATATAACCAGAAAGAATTCTTTCAATTAAGAAAGTTACGTTCATTTTTTATGAATAAAGTTACAGCAGGATCACCACTGGCTTCTATTCCGAGCCATATCTGATAATGTCTCTAGCCACTGTGTTGCACTATCTCTAGGACTCCAATCAGGGAGTCGTGATGGACCAACACAAGCCAGTCCTGTACAGCTTTCCTTCATATCACGACACCAGGTCATACACTAACCGTCTCTCCACTTTTTACAACCATTCCCAGCGTCGGAAGGTAATGCGCGTTCAGTGGCCCGAGATCTGACTCCAGTTATATCGTACGATGATTGATTGTTATTGAAATATTCACGACAGCTATCTTAGTATATAATCATCGACTTAAATCGCGTTTTTGAATAACAGAATTAAATAAGTCAAATACGAGAATGGATGTTTGAATACGTGCATGTTGTACACTCATTTATCTGGCCCACCATGTTCGGTAGTGAAAATACTGATCAACTCTTTGGTGATGCCTACTTACAGTAATATGTACGTAGAATTACTCCAATTTTTAAAAATTATTCTGTTTTGGTGCCTGTAACTAAAGCATTTCTAGTCAGACTCATTAATTACAATTCTCTATTCAATGTGGTATAAACTGAGATATTAAGCGAAGGTGGCTTTTCGTTAATGGATGAAGAAATCACTATTGTCGTCTGGTTTGAATCCTACTTCTAAATTATACTCTTTTATCTCTGTATTCATTGTTGAAAGTATCCATGTTTATTTAAAACCATTTTTTCTGTTATTTAGTACTCTTCAATTTTCTTCGACAGAGTTTATTTATTTCATTTCTAAAATTTTTTTTCTTTACATACTTCTCAAGTAAAGCTTTATTATCTGTCCGATGTAATGCTTCGCAGTATTTATTGTGTATTTACCGAATTTTTCGTATCATAGTGTACCGGGAAATAGGTGACACTGGAAGTTTTGATGTATAGATTGCTTTCCAATTGTTGAACTGAGCAACTAGTTCTATTTATAGTTTAGTTTACCTTGACACTAAAACAACTCACAATCTAGTTTCGTTATTGAAATTCTGTAGTCACTAACAATCAATTTGTTGAAATTGAAATATTTAGTTCATCTTTATTAAGCAACATTGTTGTCTGTTTTCCGATGACAAGTTTTTGAGGACGTTTTATATATTTGTTTCTAGAGTGGTAGTTGAAGTAAGTATGATATCAGGAGTGCAAGAAACGCTACATCACCGGTTAACAGTAATTAAAGTGGTATGGTCTAAATGTAACTGACAATTGTTCTGTATTGGATTTACTCTTCCTTAAAATTGTTTTTCAACCTGATTTCAGGATATCTAAACCTTCCTATAATGTGACGTTCCTAAGTGGTTACCAATATAATTCTAAAGTTAATTTCAAATACTATATATATTAATATCACTCTACGTTGATAACTTCCGGTGCTTTCTTTCATTCCGTTTAAATTAATCTCATCAACTTAAGTTTTCGTGGCTCTTATCAATTTACGATAACATTGATTTAAAACATTCAATCTTTGACGATATTCAGCTTAATGGTTTCTCTGATCTAATATAACTTTTATTAAATGACAATAGTCAGTGAAATTTTGTATACTTAATAAAAGATTATAAACAACTGAATTGTCATGCAAATATTCTACACTGAACTATGATGGTAACTTGATAAAAATCACTTCGAAACAATTATCATTTCATGACTGCAAAGCTTTAAATGTTGTTAAACTCTGGAGTTGAATAGAAGTAGATTCGAAGTTAATTATTAGTTTAAA